ATTCCTAGCAGTTGTCACTCCTCAGAGAGCGATCTCTGGGAGTGCCCGGCTAAGGACGTGCATGAAAAGCATCAAGGCCTTAGTCTTTCTTTCCAGCGCTGCCTCCGTCGAGATAACTCACCCACGCCGAGGCTGGTCCCCGGCAACCAGAAACAGAGAGAAAGAGAGAGGGGGGGTGCACCCCCTCCCAGGGGGAGCCACAATCCCTTCTCCATTCTCCTCTTGGGATTTTGGGCATGCATACACACAAACCTGCAGTGAATTTCAAATCACTGATTCCAAGACACAAACTAGTGTTGGCCATGTGGGAGTTCAGAGTCACAACCACTATGCCACCTGCTGGCCCCATATTTATTTATTTAAAAATAATTTTACTTTATTTATTTATTTATTTATTTATTTATTTATTTATTATTTTATTTTATCAAAGAGAGAGAGAAAGTGAGAAAGGAACCCATCAAGTCTGGGGCTTGAACCACTAAGTCCCATGGTCGGTCATGGGGGAGCCCAACTCCTTAACCACCATGCCACCTGCTGGCCCTGGTAAAAGCATATTTAAACTCATGTTTGCTAACAGATTGTGTATGAATGGGCAACATCTCATTACTTGTTCACACTGTTACTTAAAATCATTATAAGTGGCTTCAGTTATTGGTGGAGAATTGAGTGCTTGTAGCCAGAGGTAGAATCTCTTTAAAAAGCAGTATTGCTTTCAACTGCTGCCAGTAGTCTGGAAAGCTCTACTCTAAATTCAACTTATTCACATAGTATTACTGAATGCAGCAAGAAACACCTAATGCAAACATTCTGAATCACTCCTACCACTATCTCTAACATTACAGCCTAGATTGGCATAAGGTCTGCATTGTAAAAGTAGAAAGCAATCTGACCAAATGTCCTGCCTATAGAAACAAGAACGTTTAGTTTTCTAGTCTGGCCTGGGTATATTTATATTCTTCATGGCCTTAAGTCAATACCACGCTTGAGATTTATTTTATCTACAGCACCCTAATTCTAAGTATAAAATCTATATCCTTAAGAATTTTTACTGTCAATAAAAAGTACAGTAGCATCAACAAATAAAGGTTTATTTAAATGTCATATAAAGGAGGCAAGCAGACCAGAGTTGGTATAGCTGTCCCATAAAAACATCACTACAGACTCCTATATTTCTGCTCACCCATCCGTAAAACCCGATACCAGTACCAAAGTCCTTGGAGTCTGTTGGAGTTCCAGCTTATATGTCCACATTATAGAAAGGGGGAAGGAGAAGAAGAAATACAGAGGAAAAGTTTTCTTAAATGTTCTAACCATACAAATATCACTTCTGTCTTGTTGACCTGCAAAGAAGCTGAGGTACTTTTTCAGCCCACAATTTATTAATAGTTACCAAAAAAGGACAAATGGATATTAGGTAGGGGGAAAAAAAAGTCTCTGACTAGGGAAAAAGCAATCTCTGACACAAACTGTCATCATTTTTCACTGCAAATAGTCTGTAATGCCACTTTTTATTTTCAGTTCATTTAAAAAGCTGTGCATTCAAGTGTCTTAAAGTTTCCTAGTAGATGTATTACATTTTGGATCTTGAACATTATTACATATCACTTTCACATTTCTTCCAAACTCTCTTAACAGATGTGCTCAATAACCTGCTGATCATAGTCACATGGTTTCTTTACAGTATGAATTTCCTTATAGCTTAAGAGATAAGATTTGAATGAAAGCTTTCTCACATTCATTACAACATACAGTGGCCTCACCCATCATGTGGTGTTAATGAATGGTTCCTTATATTCATTACACTCTTAAGGTCTCTCCTCTCATGCAAATTCTCTAAAATAACACAAAATGAAAATGGCAAGTATTTATGATATCCTATGTTCAAGGGACTATCCTCAGAGCTTTGTGGGAAAGTGGTAGGTTTTGTTTTGTTTTGTTTTGTTTGTTTTTTATTAATACCTAGTCTATGTCTTGATCCTCCTGCCTCAGCCTCCTCAATACCTGGGATCACAGGCACATGCCATCATATCTAGCTCTTTCAAATGGGGTCTAACTACTGTGCACGCTGAGTATAAGACTTCGATCCTCCCACCTCAGTCTCCCAAGGAACTGGGACTACAGGCATGTTCAACCACACATTTTAGGATGAGCTGGGAATAGAACCCACATCTCTCATGTGGCCTTAGCCCACCAAGCAGTAGTGTCCAGTGCACACTATCACACTGGACTTGTTCAAAAGCTTTTACATGCAACAACTCACATAATACTTTCAGAAACCTTGTAAGAATGGTATTATTCTTTGGTATAGATTACAAATGATTAAACCAAAGCAAAGGTTAATTATCATAATATATGTAATGAAGGAAATCAACTGATAGAATCAAGATAATGTAAAAATGTCTAATGGCTTTCCTACATTTAATATGTCAACAAAATTATTTTTTGTTTTAATTTGCTAAATTTTAACATGTTTCCAGTAATGACAGCTTTTTAAAATACGAATTTACATAAATATTTTCTTCCCCCCATAAAAATTCTACATGCTGAGCTGTATGAGGCAAATGTACTCTCATATTCACATCTGTAAGAATTCTTTGCAGATAATGGACAAATGACCAGCAAAAACTCTAAATAACAAAGAATCAGATCATTCATACATAAACTTGTGAGCCATTACTAAAATCTATCCCACACTCTTTATACTCAAAAGATTTTTCACTGTTATGAATTCTCTGATGTTGTGTTAGTTGTGAGCCACGAGTAAAAGCCTTTCCACATTCCTTACACTGATAGGGTTTTTCACCAGTATGAATTCTCTGATGTCGAGAAAGATGAGAACTCTGAGTAAAGGCCTTTCTACATTCTTTGCATTCATATGGCTTCTCACCAGTATGGATTCTCTGATGTAGAGTAAGTTGGGAGCCATGACTAAAGGCCTTCCCACACTCTTTGCATTCGTAGGGTTTTTCTCCAGTGTGAATGCGTTGATGTTGAGTAAGTTGTGAACCACGAATAAAGGCCTTCCCACATTCTTTACACTGATACGGTTTCTCGCCAGTATGAATTCTCTGATGCTGTATAAGTAGTAAGCCTCGAGCAAAGGCCTTCCCACATTCATTACATACATAAGGTTTCTCACCAGTATGAAGTCTCTGATGTTGAGAAAGATGTGAACTCTGAGTAAAGGCCATTCTACATTCCTTACATTCATAAGGTTTCTCACCAGTATGAATTCTCTGATGCTGAGTAAGCTGAGAGCCACGAATAAAAGACTTTCCACATTCCTTACATTCATAGGGTTTCTCACCAGTGTGAATTCTCTCATGTTGAGTAAGTTCTGAACCACGACTAAAGGTTTTTCCACATTCTTTACATTCATAGGGTTTTTCACCAGTGTGAATCCTCTGATGTCGAGTAAGGAGTGAACCACGATTAAAGGCCTTTCCACATTCCTTACATTGATAGGGTTTTTCACCAGTATGAATTCGCTGATGTTGAGTAAGTTGTGAGCCATGACTAAAGGTCTTTCCACATTCCTTACATTCATAGGGCTTTTCATTGGTATGAATTCTCTGGTGTTGAGTAAGTTGTGAGCCACGGATAAATGCCTTTCCACATTCTTCACATTTGTAGGGTTTTTCTCCAGTATGAATCCTCTGATGTTGCATAAGTAGGGAGCCTCGAATAAAAGCCTTTCCACATTCTTTACATTCATATGGTTTTTCCCCATTATGAATTTTCTGATGTTGAGAAAGCTGTGAGCCACAAATAAAAGCTTTCCCACATTCCTTGCATTCATAGGGTTTTTCACCAGTATGAATTCTCTTATGCAAAATCAGTTGTGAGAGCTGAGTAAAGACCTTTCTACATTCTTTACATTCATAGAGTTTCTCACCAGTGTGAAGTCTCTGGTGCAGAGTAAGCTGTGAGTTCTGAGTAAAGGCCTTCCCACAGTCTTTACATTCATAAGGTTTCTCACCAGTATGAACTTTTTGATGTCGGGTGAGTTGTGAGCTACGAATAAAGGCTTTTCCACATTCCTCACATTTATATGGTTTTTCACCAGTATGAATTCTATGATGTAAAATAAGTTGTGAGCTTTGAGTAAATGCCTTCCCACATTCCTTGCATGCATAAGGTTTCTCACCAGTATGAAGTCTCTGATGAAGACTGAGCTGTGAGTCACGACTAAAGGCCTTCCCACACTGCTTACATTCATAGGGTTTTTCACCAGTATGAATACTCTGATGTTGGGTTAGATGTGAAGCTCGTCTAAAGGCTTTCCCACATTCCTTACATTTATAGGGTTTCTCAGTAGAGTGACATTTTGGATGTTGAGATAAGTAAGTATGCTGGTCGAAAATGGACATTTTGTCATATGTGATCATCCCCTGCATAAAATATTCCTTCTGATTTTCTTGCTGCTTCTCCAACTTGCCTTTGACTTCTAAATAATCTCTGGAATTGAACTCAGGAGCACAGCTTTTAAGCCTATCACTCATTTGCCACTGAGATAATCCTGTTCCATAAATATCCTTTTTTGGAGATAAGTCCTTACTTGCACACCTTGAAGGCAAGTCTGAAAGATAACAGAACATCAGAAAATGCAGGAGAAATAAAACTTCCATAGCAGAAAACCAAATAATTGGAAAATAATATAAATTTAAAAATGCATTCATCAATATTTTTCTAATACTGTTTACTGTGACCCAGAATAATACCTACCTTTGTCATCACAACCTATTACACATATACACTTTCATAAAACAATACCTACTCTTTTCTATTTGGTTGTCAGAAAAGCCACGACCCATTTTTGCACAGAAAAACATACGTCATGACTTTTCCAACAACTCAGTATTTATTCTATGCTATTCTATCTTTTCCATTTTTCTCTCTCATACATACACACAGACAGTCAAAACCAATAAACTAATTTCTTTCTTTTTTTAAGACAATTTTGTTATGGAGTACATGTGCTCACTGGAGAGACAGAGAGACAGAGACAGAAAGCAAGAAATCATCCCCTAGGTGGAAAGTACACACCACAATCCCTTCTCCTCTACTTTCCTCAGTATTCTGGGCACACATGTGGGAATCCAGCAACCTAACCACCACACCACCCAAAGAACCCACCGCTAAACTAATTTCAACAAGTAATGCTGCTACCTAGAGTGTGAAAAAAAATATTACTTTAATGGGACCAGCAGATGGCATAATAGTTATGTCGCTGGACTCCCACATAGCTGATCAAGGTTCAAGTCCTAGATCTGGTGGCTTGAAATTCTCATCAGATGCATGTATGTGCCCAAAATGAAAATGAAGGAAAAGAGAAGGCAGCATGGCTATTCTCCCTGAGGGGTGATTTCTCATTATCTGTCTCTCTGTTACTGTCTCTCTGGCAAGTGCACATGCCCTATAGAAAAAAATCCCTCTTAAAAAAAAAACTAGCTAAAAATGACCTCATATCAATATGTAAAAAGGGTACCTGAGAGATATAGAATAATGAAAACTCAACTGAAAAGATGAGGCAAACAATGAAGAACATTTTTAACTGAGAGGTTCTCAAACTTGGGTGAGGATCAAAATTACCTGGGGAGCTTGTTAAAATTTTAGATGTCCAGATACTACACCAAGACTAAGTGAATTTAAATCTACTAATCAAAAAGAGTAAAGGAAAAAAAAATTTAGAGGTTTTGGCCTTATGACTTGTGTACTCAGAGAGAGACAGAGACAGTGAGAAAGAAAGTAAGAAATCACCCCCAAGGGTGAATGGCCACACCACAATCCCTTCTCCTCCACTCTCCTCCCAGGGTCTTGGGTACACATGCACACACACCTGGCACGTTTCAAACCACTGGGTCTAGGACTCGAACAGTGGCCAGTCATGAGACTGTGACCTGCCATTTTTAAAAACTTTTCATAGCTTCTAAATTAAACTTAGAATAAATGCCAAACTCTTCCATGACTTTGACAAAGCCCTCCATGGTCTGATCCATACCTACATATCTGATTTCTTCTTCGGAGTCATCTCAGCTTTGTTCACTATCTAACAAACATACTAGCTTCCTTCAACTCTGAAAACACCATGAGGCTTTTCCCAACTTACAGTTAACCAGAGCTTATTCCATCTTTTTGGACTGCTCTGTATGAGACTATACAAACTGGCTCTTTTAAAAAGTTATTTATTTAATTTCTTATTTGTTATTATTATTTTTAATTTGACTAGAGAGAAACAGAGAGAGAGAGAAAGGGAAAATGAGGAAGCAAGCTGCCACGTCCGGGGCTCGAACTGCAATCAGCAATGTGGGAGTTCAGCACCCCAACCACCATGCCACCTGCTGGCCCCACAAACTGGCTATTTTTAATAATACATACTTTTTATGAATGATAGAAAGAGAGAGAGGGTAAGAAAAAGAGATATCCTCAATAAGGTTTCCAGGTCCTGTAGCTCACCAGGATATTCAGCACATACGCTGTGTCCAGGAAGTTTTTTTGTTTTTGATTTTGTTATTGTTTTTTAAAGAGGTTTTTGCTATAGGACACGTGCGCTCGCTAGACAGAGAGAGGACAGAGAGACAGAAAGCGAGAAATCACCCCCCAGGGGAGATGGCCACGCTGCAATCCCTTCTCCTCCATTCTTCTCTCGGGATCTTGGGCACACACGCACACACGCCTGGCGTGAGTTTTAAGCCATCAGGTCCACAGTCAACTACGTGGGAGTCCAGCGATATAGCCATTACGCAAACTGCTGGTCCCATGTCCAGGAAGTTTTCAAGCCAACCTAGCATTTGAACCTCCAATCGGTCATGTATCACTGACTGAACTTCAATCACTGCAGTTTCATTTTTTACTGACTGTGTCACCAATTGAGCCATAATGGCTTTTTCTTATTCTTCAGGAATAAATTTAGTTTTCAGTTCCTAATTCTTAAACATCCATTTCCAGTAATTTAGAACATCCTTTCTGATGATACCAATTACAATCATCTGCTGGCCCCCAGAATTATCATTTTAAAAGAAGTTTTTACTGGGGCCAGCAGGTAGTGTGGTGGTTAGGGTGTTGGACTCTCAAATGGGTGACTAGGGTTCAAGTCCTGGACCTAGCAGCTTGCTTTCTCACTTTCCCTCTCACTTTCTGTGTTTCTGGTGAGTATACTCTGGAAAATTTAAAAAATCATCATCATTATCATAATAAATAAAATAAATAAAAGGCACCTGACTAAAGTCATTGGAGTTAATATTAAAATATAGCTGGTGAGGGACCAGCAGGTGGTGTGGTGATTAAGGCGCTGAACACTCCCACATGGTCGACCAGGGTTCGAGTCCTGAATCTGGTGGCTTGCTTTCTCACTTCCTCTCTCTCTCACTCTCAACCTCTGTCTCTCTCTGGTCAAATTAAAAAAAAAATGAATGAATAAATAAAAATAAAATAATTATTAAAAAATATATAGCTGGTGAGCTAGAAGTTGAAAAATATCAAGTCAGAGAGACGAAACTAAAACTTAAAATCCACAGGCCAGCAGGTGGTATGGTGGCTGAGGCACTAGACTCTCACATGGCTGACCATGGTTCAAATTCCGGACCTGATAGCTAGCTTTCTCAATTTCCTCATCTCTCTCTCTGTCTCTAATTTAATGGTTTTGGGAAATGTATAATGGCATGTATCCACCATTTTAGTATCCTACTAAATAGCTTGACTAAATTAGAGCAGAAATAAATGAAACAGCTTAGAGAAATGGTAGTGGGCAATATGTGGTGGTGCAGTAGTAAAACAACACTCTGCAATACTAAACCTACACAAGACAGTCCTGGAGCTCATGTCTGTAGGTCTCCCTCTACATGCCAGGCACGTGCATGTGTGCTTATTATTGTAGATGGCTGAGTGTGGGAGGAATTACAACATGAAGAACTTGTGAGGGGTGCCTATCTGTCTGTCTCTCTTATAGAGATCTCCTCCTGGGATCTTAGGCATACATGCACACTGTCTAGTGTGATTTTGAAACCACCAGGTTCAGAACTCGAACCATGGTCAACCATGTGGGAGTCCAGCAATGTAACTGTAATGCATGCCATCTGATGGCCCCAAAAGGATTTTTAAAAATTATTTATCAGGGCTGGCAGGTAGCATGGTGGTTAAGGCACTGAACTCTCACATGGAAGACCACGGTTTGAGTCCTGGATGTGGAGGCTTGCTTTTTCACTTTTCCTTTCTCTTTACCTCTTTCTCTCTCTGGATGAACTTAAAATAATAATAATAGTAATATGCCACCTGCTGGCCCCTATTTATTTAATTTTATTTATTACTGTTTTTAAACTTGCTATACAACACATTTACTCACCAGAGAAAGAGACAGAGAGAGAAAGAGAGACAAAGAAAGAACATGAGAAAGCAAGCCATCAGGTCTGGGACTTGAACTGCTGTCATCCATGTGGGAACCCAGCACTTTAACAACCATATTGCCTGCTGGTTCCCAGAATTCTAATTTTAAAAGAAGTTTTTACTGGGGCCAGCAGGTAGCGTGGTGGTTAGGGTTTTGGACTCTCAAATGGGTGATTGGGGTTTAAGCTGTGGACCTGGCAGCTTGCTTTCTCACTTTTCCTCTCATTTTCTGTGTTTCTGGTGAGTGTATTCTGGAAAATTTTAAAAATCATCATCATTATCATAATAAATTAAATTACTTTTATAAGAAAATGTTTATTTAATTCTATTTGTTATTATTATTATTACTTTAATTTGACCAGAGACAGACAGAAAGAGAGAAAGGGAATGTGAGACAGCAAGCCACCAGGTCCCATACTCGAACCACAGTCGGCCATGTGGAAATCCAGCACCTTTAACTCCCACGCAACCTGCCAGCCTAAAAAAATAATGCTTGAAAAAAAAACAAGACATTAAAAAAAATGTGTTTACTATAGGACATGTATGCTTACCAGAGAGAGACAGAGAGAAGGAAAATGAGAAATCATCTTCTGGAGATGGCTATGCCACAATCCCTTCTTCTCCATTCTCCTCTCAGGATTTTGGACAGGCATGTACATGTGTCCGGTGTATTTTCCAAAACAGGTCCAAAATTGAAACCCTAGAGTCAGCTATGTGGGATCTAGTGCCTTAACTACTATACAACTTGGCTGGCCCTTTTTAAAAGAATTTTTAAAAATTACTTTTAAAAGTTTATTTCTTCTGGAGCCAGCAGGTGGTGGGGTGGTTAAGGCCCTGGTCTCCCACATGGCTGACCGTGGTTCGACTCCCAGACCTGGAGGCTTGCTTTCTCCCTTTCCATCTTTCTCTCGCTGGTTAGCACACAAGCCCTGTATTAAATTTTTAAAAATCATAATAATTACAAATAAAATGAAATCATCTTTAAAAAATTTTTAAAGTCTATTTCTTCTCAATAGTGTTGTGATCCATGCCCATCATCAGCCAGCCAGAATTATGGGTATATGTGTGCACCTGTATGCATACACCATGGAATGTATACACTCAGGATCATCCCATGTGGCTTTAGCAATGCACTGTGTTATTGCTAAACCATTGTGGCTGGCCAAAAAGAGCATTCTATTTTACATGGAAACACAG